TAATGGATGATCGCCATCTTTCCTGCTTCTCCTTTGCTGCAGCTGCAGATGACCTGAGATCCGTCTGTCTCTGAATAATGAGCAACCACACAGACAAGGAAGACAATCTGCAAAGCAGGGCTACACACAAAGAAGTTTGGGAGACTAGCAAGCACCAGAGGGTGCACAAGAGTTTACGACGAGACGAGGGAGCATCAGCAGGATGGACAACGTCTCTGTCTGAGAAGCTCATCCTTCATGTAGACTGAAGTCAGATCGCCTGCAAAGCCCTTATCGGCGGCTCAGAGCAGCAAGCAGATACACGCGGAAGCTGTAGATTTTATATAGGCTCTCCATACTGTGTGTGTGTGTAAGTGTGTGTCTGCCACGTCATGAGGTTATCTGCAGTTCACTTTGGTGGTGATGATGATGCTGCTGCATACTTCATCCAGACACATGATAGATGCAAAATAAAACATCACATTTTAAATAAATAAAATGAATACATGAACAATAAAATTTATTTACAACATGATCCCACTCCTCCCAAAGGTTGATCATCTTCACATATATTCTATACATATATGTTATCATAATGATGAACAACACTTTATAAGGGTGTTAAATCCAAATGAAAAAAAAGAAGAAGCCTTGTGTGTTGCAGCACGCTGTCATTAGTGTGATGTAGACATGCTGCTGCTGTTTCTGCAGCTCTGTCCACCAGCTGCTAACAAAGAATGAGCCCAAGACAAAAGGTGCAGGGTCCTGCTCAGATGTATGTCAGCGTAAAGGATGGGTGGGTGGGTGAGAAGGAGGAGGAGGGTGGGTCGGGCATGGTGCATGGGGAGTGAGGAGTGAGGAGTGAGGAGATGTCTATACCATGCATGATCGAGTGACCATAATGTCATCTTGGCAGATTTATCTGCATGGATGGCTTCTGATGGAAATCATGTAGCATGTTGTCACTATGGGACTGCTGCACTGTAACATTTTAAGAATATTTACTTCTTGTCGTATTCTTGCAGCAGAAGATATTTTTTGAGTCTGTAAAATGCTACTTTTAATGAGAGATATTTAAATGAATTGCTTGATAAAAAGCTCATTAGATTCTTGCATCTGAATGTATCATACGCTCACATTAAAGCCATGAAAGTTATCCCTTTGTTCAGGAGATATTTTTATTTTCCATGTAGCAAAATAATACGAGGAAGATAATGAAACACAAACTTTAAAGCTCCTGTGAGGAACTGTTAGTTTGTGGGCGATTTTGGCGCCCCCTGTGGACAAACAGGTAAATCTTATCGCTGCAGATTTTGTCCAGTACATAAACATTAAATCAGATGAAAAAAAATCACACCTGCTTTATTTTTAGCTGTCTCCTATGGAAAAGGAGAAAACAAACAACCTTCAGTGTGCTCATCTGACACCTACCCTGCAGCAACATGATAAATAACTGTATAGAAATAACCAATCCTTATGTTGATGGTCTTGTTTGCTATTCTAGATCAATTTTTAGACACATCAGTATTAATTTCAGTATGTTTCGCAGCCTTCTAAAAAACTCCTCACAGTAGCTTTAAATAGCTTTGATGCAGAATGCCAACATGTTTATAATACTTGTCATGTATTTCAGGTCATCTAAAGCAGGGGTTCTCAAACTTTTTTAGACCATTGGACTCCTTTCAGGTGAGACATTTTTCCAAGGACCCCCTCATTATCGTAACGTTGATAAGCATATATTAATACTATGTGATAATGTACTATGTAGTACTTTGCAACGAATTAGGCAACATTTATACTTTCGAAGTAATTAATTTGATGAACTTTCAGAAAATGTTGTCTCCGAGGTGTTTTTTGTTTTGAGTTTTTTTTTAATCGTTGCACACTATAAGGTGACAGACATGTCACGATCATATCAGAATTGATCTAAAGGCACAAAACTAAAGTGGGCGGGACTATTGGACAAAATAGCTGATTTTTATTGGTGCAAGAGGTCCCAGTTTGTAGATATGTTATTTCAATGATATAGCACACTTTACAATTGTTTGTAAATTATTCCACGGACCCCCAAGCTATGGTTCGCGGACCCCTGGGGGTCCTGGGACCCCACTTTGAGAATCACTGATTTGCTAACAAAAGTGTTCTATCTATAAAGGTAATAATTGTTATATAGTACTTGATGATATGAATGACTGTGATCAGTTTGTAAAGAGGTGCACTGTGTTGTACTTTTGTCTGTTGCAGACAGTAGATGGCAATGACAACTTCCCTGATTTTAAAAAGAAGCATCTAAATGGTACTCCGCAGCTTTTTTAATTAAACAGTAAAATGACAAAAAGTACTTTGCATCCCATAAAATCTTTTTTTTTCTTCATCTCAACAATGCTGTGTGACGTTCAAACACCTGACACGCCTCAGCCACATATCTTGTGCGCACGCTTCGCCGGTGATTGTTGGTTGATTTACAGGCAGAGACACAGAGAGGAATTAAATTTGTGTAAGATACAGACGTAGTTAATCATGTCTGACAAGTGTTGCTGTTGCCTCTTGTCGAGGTTTTCGGCTATATGAATTATGGATTGTGGAAGATGTATATTTGTGTTGTGAAATGTAATAGAAAAGCTCAGTGTTTGTATCAGGTGAGCTGCTCTTTGTGTCACCGGTGTTTTTAGTAACACAGGGTTATGCACAGTGTTGTTAAACAGTGCTATGTAAGAATTTTAAATATATAATACGCAGAAGGCGACAGATGGAAACAGGAATGAGCCTTTTTTTTAAATTGAGGTCAATAGTGCCAGTACCCCTGTTGCAGTGACGTACATAGCTGCATGTATTTCCCTAACACTTTGGCCAATGTTTAGCTGGCCCAAAAATTACTTCCTGCTCCTTCAGCGTTGTCTCTGACGCCCTTTTATTCAATTATTCTTGTCAATTTTTATTATAAATACACCAACACACCTGTAATATGTTTGCCAGTAGTGGTTTTTGATGTCTCAACAGATCTTTGATGGATTGTCTCAGGGGAAACAAGGTGTGAAATACACACACTGCATGTAAACGCACACAAACACACACACACTGTGTTGACAGTGCGTCCTGTGGGTGCCAGGTAGCAGCCAGGGTTTATCACGCTGCTCGGACATATGGCTGCTGCGGCAAATCTGATTAATATGGGAAGGCCATGCAGGAGTCCGGCGTGCAGCAGAGGACAGGCTGCACCAGGACATCCCCACTGGTCCGGCCTCCCCCGCACTCCATCCAGCACTGCTAAAAACAGAGCAGTCTGCAGGGATTCAGATGGACAGGGCGGTGGGAGAGCGGGAGGAGTGAGGTCGCTGTACAGATTTAGAACGTGGCTTTTTGGAAGCGTTAATATTATGCAACAGGGTTTGTCTATTGTTCAGACAAGCATTCTCAGTTCGTTTTTTCTTTTTTGCAAATAAAAAATGAATAAATGAGTTTCATCAGAGAGGTGAATGAAAATGTAGCAGGTGAGAGCTCAAATGCGCCTCCTTGAAAAGTTCCCAAGACTGGAATTGAGACGCAGCAGAGTCCTGCATGGGTCAGCAAACATTATGAGAGGTCTGATGTGTTGCAGTGGAGAGAGGCCAGAAGAGATACGAGGAGATAAAACGGATTGTCGCCCGCACAGCATGAGGCTTCAAGGATCCTCAACAACAAGCCGGAGTTTCTCTAAAACACACACTGGCATAAGATTATACTTGATTATGTCTCGCTGGATTATAGGACATGTAGACATGCAGAAGATGGGAAACCTTCATGTCATACATAAACCTAAGAGATGTTAGTGAAAGCTATTTGTGTATATATGCAACTTGTGACATCATAACCAAGTGTATTATATTTAATTTAGTGTCCTTTGTACTACACACCATTTCACTAATGTTGACATTTTCTACATGTTAATGTTTTTTTATATAAATACAACTTTATCTGTAGGCATTCACATAGTAGTTTAAAGGCTTTCTATGTGATTTTTCACACTTAAATATAATAGAAATCAAGTATATCCTCTGAAAATACTCTGAGTCATGACTGTCTACAATGGGTGTAACACCCGAGTCCCACTGTCTGTGATGTTTTCAGAGTTTTCAGAGTCCTATCTTCAGTTTGTTAACATCGCCTGGACGGCCGGCTGACTCCTCCCCTCACGTATAAAAGTTGTTTAATTGAGGGACTAGAGAAAAGAAGAATAACATACTGTACTCACTGCTTAACTGTGTTTCTAGATCACGCTCATTTCAGGTAAATTTACATGCAGTGTGAAGATACGAGAATCATAAAGATCACTAGCATTAGCATGCTAACACAACAATGCAGCGCGAGTTGCTTTGGTTTCATGCTGGTGCTCAAGGGCGACATCTGCTGGATCAAAAAAATCGCATATCAAGCCTTTAAAGCTCCAGAGATGAACTTTTTTGGTTTGATTTTGGCGCCCCCTGTGGACAAAGCAAAACGTCTTCTTCTTTGCTGATCTTGTCTCAAAAATTAAAGCCATCCTCCTTTTTTATAACAGTCAAGTGTGTCACTCATAGTGAATGCTCGTCTGACCCATGGCAGCAATTACAGGCATTAAAGCCTCTGTACACCCGCACAGGTGTTAGTGATTGACACCTTAATAATACCTCTTGTCAGGAATATGTGGGTGTGGTCTAGTTTGTTTGACTGACAGCTCCACTTGGCTGCTGAGGAAACCGTTTGGGAAGAAGTGCTTGATGACCTGTTATCATATCCTCTGGTGCTTAGAATTGATCAATTCTCACCATAGCGCCACCTTTTCACAACCTGTCCTGGTCTACTCAGCCAGAATAACTGAAATCACCTGTATGGCTGCACAGAGGCTTTAAAGGCTTTATATGCGATTTTTCACACTTAAATATAATAGAAATCAAGTATATCCTCTGAAAATAACTCTGTGAGTCATGACTGTCTACAATGGGTGTAACACCCGAGTCCCACTGTCTGTGATGTTTTCAGAGTTTTCAGAGTCCTATTTTCTG